GACATTCAAAAATCTATATGTAGAGATTGCAGAGATGTTTTTCAGAGGGGGTAGACTCACAGATGGATTTAGATGCTTATATCTCTTGGAAAGATGCATACACTGAAGCAGTTCACAAAAAAAAAAAAAAAAAAAAAAAAAAAAAAAAGTTATGACGTGTAATGAAGACGTGATCAAGGAAACATACCAGGGTGAATTTTAGGGACAAAGAGCTTGTTTTGCAGCCTTTCATATAGCCAAATTTCTGGCAGCAGAGGGTCTTCCAGATGTCCTAATATTACAGGCAATATCCTGCTGAAAGAAGAAGCCCAGATAAACCCCACTGCATGTTTGGTTGGTGAGGAGGAACATAATCTATCCATAATCTATCTTGCATGAGACGATATTCTGACCCTACTAAACTGAAGTTCCCACTAACAGTGCCCACATGCACAGTGCTTCACAGTGGTCACTTCTTCCTTACCACATTTTCAATGGGAACCAATGTTCAGGACAATTGTTATGTACCTCCTACTGCTTCCCTGAAACACACGGTAGTCTTTGTATTTCATTTGCAGTAGTGCAAGTGGTACTGACCATATGAAAATCAGGTCTTGTTAAAATTTAGACACAGTATTTGATGCATTATCCTTTCCATGCTAGGCTGCACAGTGAAATGCCTTTTTACTTGCTCAGAAGATATTATGAGTTAATTTTAATAGGGCTTTTCACTTCCAATATAAGCCAATGTAAATAAAATGCTGTTACTGTATTAAAACTACTCTAATATTCTTCTCTCAATTTTCCATGCTTGTAAATTTGACTTCTGCTGCTCTCTTCTGCTTTTACATATATGACTTAAAGTATTTACTAAAACAGTAAAAAGAAGATAATTTACCCATAGGTGATATTCTGCAACCTCTCAGTTTTTCGTGCATTTAACACAGTGTTAGTTTTTGTGGATTTCTTTATTCTTCACTGTAGCTCTGACAATTTAGAGACTTAGACTTTGACTAATTGAAGGCTTGCTGTCTTTTGGTATTAATGGATTTTTATAATTTATAATTTGCTTGTTCTGTTTTCAAAAGTTCATTTGTATGTAGGATGAGAATTTTCATTCAGGCAACTAACTATCATTAGTGCCTACAGGTGAGGGAAAACAGTAAAATCTAAAACTGAATTGAAAAATGTTACTATTTTGCATGTATGATTTTGATCCTATACCACTTGTATTCCATAAGTATAGCTTGAAATTTAATCTGTTTTAGTTGTCATTCTTGAGCACTTACATTTTGTTAATTAAAGATGCACCTTGTAGATGGCTATAATAGTTAAGATAGTTGGTTAGATCAGAGCAGAAAAGACTTTATATAATTGCTTTTTGAGCTATGGTTCACTTTTGCTTGTCTAGAAGTCCTTCTAAAAGATCCAGTTGTTATCCACTCAAATAAACAGTTTAAGGCCATCTATAAAGAGTTCTGACATTTCATTTCTAAATGTTATTCAGCATGAATATCATAATAGTGTTATCATAGATAGATTCATGTTATTTATCCTGTATAGATTCACATGCACTTTCAAATTTCTGGGAATGTGTTACTGTAAATACCCTTGCTGGCCTACATGCATTCATTGTTCCATGTGTTCTATAAAATACAGGATTTTATATATTTTATTCTGTACACTTCCATCCTGTGTTAGAAGCAGATGGGCTATTTTTCTCCAGCTTTTCCGGTCTTGTTGGCTGCTGCTGCTGATATGGCTCTTACTGTTCCAGTGGTGGACTGAGTTGTTGCTGTCCATTACCATTCCTGCCCAGTTCCTTACACCTTACCCACTATATAGTTGAATGAGGCTTTGAAGCACCTATGTGTAAGCTGATGTGGTACCTAGGGATCTGCAGAGATTCTTGGAAGCCCTGCAACAGCTGTCACTTTTTTTTTTTTTTTTTTTTTTTTGTCTTTGTCTTCCTGCCTCCTCTTACTCACTGGAGCTGCTGCTGCTGCCTACTTCTTTTCTCTTCCTCTCCTTCATTCCCTACACCTTTCACCAAATCCCCCCAGCGTTTTATTTATTTGTTTATTTATTTACACATTTAGTCTGAAATACAGAATCATCATATAAGGCTGATATATTTTGTGGCAGATTTATTGTTTTAGTGTACTTTCTCAGGCACTATAGATAGCAGTGCTTGCACTTTTCTCAACAATTATTTCAGCAAACTCCTTGCATAGCCTTAGACAACCTTCATTAAAAATTAAATTAAATTAAATTAAAAAATAAATAAATTACAGTCTGCCAGGGTAGCATCGTGTTCTTCTCTGCTTCAATACGGTAAGAGGAAGAACACAAACAGAGCTTTGGTAGAAGTGATGGCTATATTATCTGGAATGGAGTTGACACTTCCAAGATTAGCAAGAACACAGCTCTGAGGAAAATTAGCTCCCTTTGAAATTTTCAGTAAGTAACCCTGAGTGGTTAGAAATAGTAAGTTATTTGTTTTCCTACAGAAGTATTTGCTACAGGACTAAAATATCATAAGACGCTAAAATTTAGACTTAGGGTGCTGGCCACCTTTTATCTAGCATGTTTGCATCAGTGATATCAAAGTATCTTGCCTTTTCAGTATTCTACTGCCAGTAGAATTTGATTTTATTTCTTTTCTGCAAACTAACATACAGCATGTAGGTCATCTTTTTTATCCACTTAGCCACATATGCGTTAGCAAAATAAGTAGGTTTCTGCAGCAACACTTTTTGCCTAATGAGGTAGTATATGTCAAATCTGTGTTTGCTGAGCTTCTAATTAACTGAATCTCAGAAACTTCCCCTATCAATGTCAGAATAAAGAAATGACCTTACTACAAATTATTTTTACTTTTAGGCTGAACTTAAAATTTAATACTGTTTTGAAGGTGTAGCAAAAATAGTTTTAGAAAGTGTTACAGGTGGCTGAAGTTTACCATGCATTAGAACAGAGAGTCATGCGGTGACAACTGTAATGACTGATGCTATCTTCCTAAAACAGGGACAGCATGTATCATTTTCAGTCTGAAATCTTCATTAGGAGAAAAAACCCACAGTTACTTTCAAGTATTGGAAGTGGACCAGTGCAAGATATTCTGGGAGGCTGAAGCAGAAAATAATGACCGTTAGGCCATTGCTCTGTATAGTCATTGGAGGAGGATTTATCCACTACACAGATACAGTCTCTAAAAGGGTTGTATCTTACACAAATGTATGTGTATTACATGTATACCACCTCTTAATCTGTCCATGTCAGAAGAGGCTGTAAATCTGATTCTCTGACTGATTTCTTGGCAAATACATTTATCTCTGGATGAAATATTATTCTGATTACTTTGCAAAGTGCATATTACTAGTACAAGTCTAAAGGAGAGCTGGAACAGTTGAGCGATAGCTGTGAAGTGCTTATGAAGGCAATTCAGCAGAGCAGTGTGGAAGACTACACTGTGGTATCTGTGGCTCCACAAAAATGGAGAAAAGTAAGACAAGGAACCTGAATCTGGAGAAAAGTCTCCCGGGAGACTGGTCTAGGATGGTAGTGGGAAACATGTAACATTGTGAAATTGTGTGATTGTGAGATACTTATAAGGAAATAATTAGCAAGAGAAAACTTTAACCTCTGTAGATTGTGATGCTTGGAGATACCAAACCACAGCGTCCCATGTATTGTACATGTTTTACAATGGATATTGAATGATTGACAAGTTGTAGAGAGAACTGCAGAAACATCTTAAAATTAAATGTAGAGTCATAAAGAGTTCAGTCAGCTTAATTTAGTCACAAAAAGATGTGAAGGCTTAGAGTTCAGCTAGAAAGCTTGGACTGAGCTTGGATATTCAGCTCAATGAGAAAGGAAATCTGCATGTGGAAACTGAAAAGTTATTAAAAATGAGCATATACAGGTAACAGCATGGCTAATTTGCACTCAGAACAACTATTCTGCCTCTTAATTTCATCAAGACATGTTTCTGAAGAGAACTCTGTGCTTTAGTCAGTTATATGTTATTGGATCTAATATAGTGCTAAGTGATACGCACAGACCTGCTACATACAAAAAAAGCAAGTTAGGTATACTGTTCCTTTCAGACTTTCCATTATATGAATATAAATTCATATATTCCATAGAGGTAAACTGGAAATCTTTTATGTGGTAATTTTATGTGGTAATGAAGGTGTAAATTATCCAAGTTCCATGTTCAGTGATCTTAAATGAAATCTAGTTTAGCATTAACAAGTCTCTGATTTTTATCAGAGAATTAATGTGTCACCTTGCAGAAATCACACCTTTTCAGAGAGTAGTGTGCCTTATGGAATAAAAAGACGCCTGAAATATCAGAATCCCTTTTTCTCCTTCTGTGTACAGTGCTTACATGTAACAAACCTTCAGTATTCTGTATTATGTAAAATGACTACTTTTTTTCTGTTTTTTACTGTTTAGTAACACACATAGAGGCTGGGCCAGAACTCCTGGGTCAGAGTCCAGTTACCTGCTGTTATATCATTGTCATAATAGGAAAAGAGTATTTTGAAAAGGCATTTGTGGGGTTTCTTACCCTTCCATCCCATCCCAGTCCTATGGGGAAACTGTTGTACAGCTTCATTGTTCTGCTATCTAGAAACCATCTAATTCCCAGCTTGTAACCATTTATTTAGGTGTCAACATAGTCATTTAACTTCTCTCTTCCTTTTCCTTAATCACTTGTTGGGTCTATAGCAACCAATCAAAGGTCTTTCATCCTTGTCTATAAAGTGAGTTATCTACTCTCTTAAACATCCTGATACACTTTTCCTGAGTAACTTGATTACATCTTTCCTGTACATGGGTGATCAGAAACACACACAGCACAGCTAGGTCTTAGTAATGTCTGGTGTACTTACGTAAGCACCCCTGTAAATCTACTGAGAAATACTCCCTTTAATTTGTGTTAAGGTACTGAGATCACATTTGCTCTCTATTGGCCTCATTACAGTCATCTTTGAATTTATGTTTTTCAGATCTTATTAGCTGATGACCTCCAGCTGACAAGTTCCCATAACTACGGTGTGACATGGCATTTGGTATAATTAAGTGCATTCTATTTCTTATTCCACTCTTGCTAAGGAAAAAATCCTTTGTTTTGTTACCAGCTAATTTCAGTAGCAAAATCTTACTTTAAAAATCTAGGTCAAGAGTAAAAATGTTAATGTAGCTTGGGTTGTGGCACTAAAAATGTGTGGATCTCTGTGAGCAGGACTGAACTCTGGAAGTCCTCAAGAGAGACCTTCTGACAGCCTTCTACAGCACTTTCTTCCTTGTAAACCTAAATGTCTGTTGGTAAATTTGGGCCTAGTAATTTACTTTCAGAAGACGCTGCTGTGGTTTTCCCCCTTTGTCCTTGCCTACTTTAGAAGTTATATATCTGTCCCATAATCCATGGTTACTAACTGATTCTTTGCCATACACTAAAGCATTAAAAATCCTTAAAGAATTTTGAATTAAATCTTACCTTAAAGACATACTTGCATACTCTAACCTGTTTCATCATATGCTCAGTTCCATACATTTTTTTTTTTAATTATTTTATTTTATTTTATTTTGTTTATCTTATTCTTCAAAATTTGATTTAAACTTTACACACTAGGGAAGCTACAATGGTAGTACTATAATAGCAAGTTGATTCCATATAAATGGTGTGCTTTACCAAAATATATGAATGTTGCTTACTCACAGTTCTTTAGTGCTGCTTCCCTTCTCCATTTGTGGTCACTAAAAAATTCTAGTTTTCCAATTTACATGGGATCTGCTGATTTATACTTTTCTCATATGCTTTCTGAACTCCAGAGAAGAAGTATTGTTGTTTGTCATTTCTTTTTATTTTTGCCTACTTGTTTTATGGTAGTTATCCATCTAGTATTCAGCTCCTCCATGAAATAAGCTTTGTAATATGTGTACTTTCTATTAAAAGAAAGCCAGAAGTTTAAATCCTTGACATTTGTTAGTCTCCTTCATTTCTCAGTTTGTTTTCTTTTAGCAAATTAAATTGAGTTATAGACTTGATTTTTTTTTTTTTTTTCCCTCATAATTCCATTTAAGGTAAAGAAAGTTTGTTTCATGATCACTGGATCCATAATTATTCTTCTATGCCTGACTCTTTTAGAAATATATTCCTTCCATAACTTTTTTTTTTGAAACTTAGAACAGCTTTGTATTTTTGGGGAGTGGGAGGGTGAGGGAGTGTTGCTATTATTGTACTGGTGTTCTTTGTCTTCTGTAATTTTGCAAAAACAATTTCTTAGTCTAATATAATTCTTAGTACTATTTATATTGTCAACTCTTACCTACATTTCTAGTCTATCAATCCTAGACTGGATATCATCTACTGTTCCAGAATAATGGATCTATTATGTTACTGCTTATTGCTTTAGTTTAAAAATATTATTATTATAATGCTGCTACCATTGCTATCAATTTTTATATGTTTTTCTTGAATATCATGTGGTTTTCAACAGTTTTAGTGTAGTCTCATATGCTGTTCTGCTACATCTCTTTCAGCTCTCCTGTACCGAATACTTAAGGACAAGTATGTATTTCTAGTCATTCCTGTCTTTTGTTTAATTTTCCTGCAGTGGCATATCAACATTGTAACTTGGCTTTGACATCATCAAAATTTTTAAGTGGATTAAGCACAGTATTTCATTGTCTGTATAACTATCGACATATTAAAATGCTTTTGAAAGAAACATAAATGTATTATGGGAAAGTGGTCTTGCTTTGCCAAAGCCATTACTTGGAGTTGCATCAAATTCATTATTTCTCTTGTTATCCGAAGAAAATGTGGAGAAATTCTCTGCAATTTATGCACATCTAATAGAGCACTGTTTGCTGTCTTAAGTATAATCAAGAATATCTTTCCTATCGAATTAGGAAATCTCTCTCTCCCTTTATGACTAGTCTTCAGAGGCAAAGGGCCACAGTCAGATTGTGATGTGTTCATCAGAAGGGTAAAATTTACTCCCTAAACCTTATGCTTGGCTGCAGAACTGTTGTTCATAGAAGGTATGAATGAACTTAGACCTTGGATAAGAAACGAATCCAAAGACCATATGTGCCTCAGCTTTCCCCAAATTTCTGCCATATTTGTTGTCTGAATTTCAGATTTATTTAAACATCAGTGTTGTGTTTGTAAGTTTGTTTGTTTGTTTTTTTTTTGTTTGTTTGTTTGTTTGTTTGTTTTTTAATCTTACTTCTGTTTGGATGCTACTGAGTTAAAAAGCAGTAGACACAGACCATAATGTAATATTGATACACTCTAAGAATTAGGCGGGGTGATTTAATTAAATTCCAATGGAAAGTACTTAACCTTTTTTATTAAACAGAAATTTATGCACAAAATGCAAAGACAAAAGCAGTTTGCATTAAACATTAACTTCTTCTAACTAAAGAGCCATGGAGAGATTGATTGCATTTGCTTAAGAGGAAGCAGTGCTGAAAAAGTCTTAATTCAAGTGGATTCCATTTAATTGTCAAGTGGCTCCAGAAAAGGAACCAATAGCTGAGCAGAAACGAGGCTCCTGCAATCCCTGTGCACTGCAACAGCTTTTAATAAGAAACCTTTGTTTCTGCTGCTTTCCAAGGACCTGTGTTTGTAATTACAGCATGCGGAAGATTTGTATATTGCAAGTAAATTGAGTTTATTGTTTTGATGTCTAAATATCCATATCTATATTGACAGAAATATAGAGAAAGGGAGATTTATATGTGTATTCCTATCCAGAATTCCCTTGATCAGAGAGCAGTAATATCTTAGCTGTGGGAAGTGATTATCCTCAGAAGCCCAGTGTAAGCTTACCTGTCAGACACTTTCTTTGGCCACTGTTACTAAGGAAACCACCTCTTTTGTATGAGTGCATTGTAGATGCCTCTTTTTGGGACCTGAATTTGTGATTACAGCCAGATACTGTTTGCCAGTTCAATACTGAAGCTTATTTAACCCTTGACATTAGCAGAGATATATTAAGTAGTATAATTTGTTTCCTGTCCCTCTTCATTAGAGAAGCTGGTGAAGGATGAGTTCTTCAGTGAGGGAATACCAAGAAAAGTTCCCTTCTTCTCAGCTCTGAAAGGGTGGCTGGCAATGCAATCACACCCTGTGGCACACTGAGAAGAGATTGATTTAAGTACACTTGGAAAATCTCTGATACTACATCTACAAAGAAATGCATAAAAGCATCAGATGTTAATCATCTAAAGTATCAAGACAGTAATTGTAAAAAGAACCTCATCATTGGTGAAGTTATTTATAAATTTGTGATATGAGATGAGATGGCATCTTCAGGTAAGATTATATATGGACTTTAACTATTTCTGGTATATTAATTCAAGTCACATCTCCAAGCTACAAGCTCCATGATTCAAAATGGGGTACCTTAAGAGATCACTGTTGCTGCTGTACATAGCTATTTATTTAAAATCCCTCTGTCTTCACATGAACAAAAAAACCACTTGTGATTCCAGTTAAATTCTTTCTTTAAGATGAATGTGCAAATGTGTGGCTCAGTACACTCTTAATAAAAACATGTTAAGTAATAAAAATAGAAATTTGCATCTGCAAATACCTGAAACACTGATATCACTGTCTAAAGGCATGGTAATATTCATTAATTAGTCAATGGGTAGTTCTGAGGACTGTGTAGCAGAGTTCACATTTTACCTTAAGCTCCATAGTGGTGAACAATATGTGCTGTGGGCTACAAATATTATTGCTACTGGTAGAGGCAAAAGCTTGGGGCATAAAAGCAGTTAGGGTATACTAATCTGACACTCTTCTCAGGAGTGCTGGAGTTAGCCCCCTTTGCCTTTCCATATAATTTTGGAGACAAAATCCACAAATGTTTTTAGACTGCAACTCCCATGCAGTAGCCTTATGGATCTGTCAATGAGTCCTTTTTGCTTTTTTTCCTACCTTACAGGAAGGCCAAAGAAAGATTTAACTCTAATTAATGAAGGTAGTTAGTTTCTGTTTTAGTAATGGTGTTTTGCTAGAATTCAAGAAATTCCTATCTTCATTATATCCTGTTGGCTAAAATACAAATTATTCCAACTTAATTTTACTTTAGAGTTTTGAAAGGCACAAGACAGTGACACACGATGCTGGCCATATTCTTACATATATGTAGGATGTTAGGAAAAGTCTTTTGGGATCAATGATTGAAATAGGTAGGTATAGACGGTACTGGGATATAATGCAATTATGAAATAGGAAGGAATGATGGTATACTTAGCTCTTAAGCTAACCTTGTAAATATTCACATTGGTACTGAAACTATAGTCAAAATGGGACTCAGTCCTCAGAAAATCAAAGCTCTTAATGGTTAGCATATGTGTAGTCCCCTTGATGAATCTGCAACACCTGCTTTATGTATAAGGAAAAATAAATATATGTGAAATCCCTTCCTCCTATCTTCTTTCTAATTAGATGGTCACTCTTGAGGGAAAGATTTGTCTCTTTTGTGTGCTCATCAGTGACAATAGTCACTGATCTCAGCTGTGGCCTCTGTCTGTGCCACAGCACGATCGTCCTCATGAAAATCAGAAATTCAAACTGAGCTTCCTGCACAAATGGAAAAGAATTTTAACCACTGTTAGCAGTCATTATGTTTACATTCTCCTCATTTCTGCATTCAAAACTAGCTGTATTTGATATGTCAGCTATTTCTAAAATATACATGGCTCATACTTAAGGAGCAGGGGACAGAGCATGCTGGTAGAATGCTGGACTGAAATTCTTCGTTGGGTTCTGAATTTTCTTACCACTTCCAAATGTAAAATCCAGCTCTAATATTCTCACCTGACTGAAGAGAAAAGATAGCTGAACGAGCTGTACAGCCAGATGGCCACTGTTTGCTTACATATTTCCTTTGTTCCCCATGGCTAGGAGATTTACAAACATAAACAACAAAACTAATTTCATTTGGACTTTGCTATTCATAGAATTTACATCCAGAACTTAATATATTCCCTTTATTGTAGATAATGTGATTATAATTCCTTCCAGCTCTTCCTTTTGTGTTTGCTGTCTTATTTGGGTGGATATATTTTAGGTGGATCACTTGGAGCTAAATGTACAAGGGTGCAGATGCATTTATGGGCATATGATGGAGGAAGGAAAGGGTAGTGCACAGCCAGAGCACATCCTCAGCTTTTAGGAACAGATGAGTTGTTGCAAATACTTCTGATGCCTGCAATATGTGCACAGTGTAAACAAGCAGTGCTGTGAGCAGCTAATGAACTAATGAAGCCAGATTTCCTACAGATTTCTGTCTCTTGATTGACTATAACTGAAGCACAGTTTCACATTATGCCTAAAATGCTCTAACTGTAGAACATGCCAAAAGGGGCAGTCCTGGCTTTTTTACTCACTTTCAACTGCACATTACCACCCCATCATATCTAGCAAGCATATGGCTACAAGGCGAATTTGAAAACTAATTCATGTGTGTGTGTGTGGTGTTATTCCAGCTGGATCAATGAGCTGATTATCTCTGAGATCAGCAGACTTCTGTCAAGTTTGAAATTTAGTCAATAAACTCCAGAGATTTTAGATAAGAACATGAACGTGCTGGTGTATGCATTCTGGGGATGTTTAAGTGTCATGACTGAATGTGCTGCAGCCTAAGTTCTAAAGCAGAGTTGAATGTAGAGTTATATAGTAAATGCATCTTTGAAATGTCTCTATAGCTTACACCCTGCTAGAAATTATGCCAGGGAAGTACAAGTACTGAAGTGCTCTTCAGGAAACTAAAGGCACACTTAACTATGCTGCAATTCAAGATGCTGCTATGCAACATATCAAACATGGTTCCAGGCATCCCTATCATCTTCAGGGAAGTAAGTGTATGCATTCCCTGCCCTTTGATGGAATGAATATGTAAATGTCACTTACGGGATGTGTCAAGATGATATTTAACTTGATGTGCATGTGAAACAGGAGGTGTTGAAAAGAAATATCTACTGTTGTGCCCACAGTAAAATCCGTACTAGCATCTATTATGATTAGTAATATGCAGTCAAAGTGACTAGCAAAACATCTTCAAGATAATCACAGTGCAGGAATTATCAGCTACTCTGGGGGTGATAAATGACCTTTGAATCAGCTGTGGAGCTCACTAAATATAAAAGCAGACAAGTGTCTAAACTTTAATGGATTTGTTTGAATTATATGCATGTAGATCAATGAACTATCATGCTAGTTTCAGCAACTGCCCTCAGAAATGTTGTGGTGTGTGTGATTCATGCTGTTGATTTTTTAAGGTAGTTCAGAAGACATTGCTTTAAGGGCATTTGGTTTACATTTGGAGATGAAGCAGAACGGGTGTCTGAACTATATGCAAATGTGCACACTGATGTGTTAACATCTGACACTTTATTAGTTCTGGTCTTTATTCTCTGGCCATTCCTAAGTTTGCAGCACATTTGTGTCATGGTTCATCACTTGTTTTGACAACCATTAGGCCAGCTCAGTGTTGTACCAATTATTTTAGGTAGGTGTTAATCTGGAAAGCTGTTGCCTTGCTTCTTCTGTGGCTTCTGCCTGAGATGTGTATGGCTCAGCCCTCTCACAGCACAGCTCAAGCCACATGCCTTCTCCATCCGCTCCTGTTATTCCTTGTGGACTGCACATCCATGTGCTGGTTTGTGCATTACTGTCTGCTGCACAGCACGGGCTCTGGGGAGCTGAATGCAAAGCCCTTGTCTGAAGCTGAAGCTGGAGTTGTGAGTCTGACACAACTGTCAGTTTCCACCTTGGAAACGTGAGCCCTCATGACTCCAGGATTTGGGTGCTGTGCTGATGTGTTGATCATCAGGGCTCTCATCTCTGCTTGACTGGTAGGCTGCTTATTGGCTTTAGCAGAATCGCATTGGCTCTATTTTGGCATCTGCAAAATTAATGCAGTAGATCTCAGCATTCTTCCTAAACCACCTTGGTCTATGCATGATGTAGAATGTAAAACCAAACCACCATAATGCTTACATTATTTCTATAATAGTTCTGTACTATTATTAGTACACTTCAACTTTTCTGGAATAGCTAGAGTAAGGAAGCAGGTCTTTTCCTGGCTCGAGTGCCAAATGTTTTTGGCACAAAGACATTTATTTGCTATTTTGTTAATGTAATTTAAATGTAGGTTGTTGAACTGATAAAAGCAGTGGCACACAAACACAAAAACTATTTCTGAGAGTATAAGCCATATCTGCACTAGAAGTATTTGACAGGGTTAAGCTAGATAACCCTTTCTAAACTACATACAGAGACAGGCATGCTTGTCTATTTGCAGCTCTTCACCTTCCACAAACCCTTGTTTGAAAGGCATTACTGGTACTTGCTACAGGTTATTGTTTTGGTGTCATTTTTGGGTCTGCATTTTACATCCATTTTCATCTTGATAAGCAGAGCTGCCACCTTCCAGACTAAATTTGCTTTAGCATCTTTGTGAGGAATGCGGGGGTGGATGTTTCAGGTAGTCCTGCTAGTTTGGGAAATAAAAGTAAACTAGTGCATATATCTGTGCTGATCTATTTGCCATGCTGAGAAAAGTGCTGTATAGAGCTACCCAGAGGAATACTGAATGATAGCCAGGTTTCCAACCCTTTACTTATATTGCACATAAAAAAAATAAAATAAAAATCCATAGGATTTGGCTGGGTGTATTATAAATAAAGGGCAATGACTTTCAGAAGCTCTTGCTTTCCCAGTCAAGATTTACAAGGAAGCATTTTGAGATTTTCTTTTATTGATATTAGATTCTTATTTTACTTTAAAATGGCATTTGGTTGTGGAGCAAAAGCTGTCACCACAATATTTGATGCCCTGAGGAGACAGCTGAAAAGGGAAACTAAACAGGGTGTTAAAATGTGGCTGACAGAGAGAAATAGTTTTGGTATCTCCTAGTTCACAAAATAAACCTAAAACATCCACATGCATACAGCATCTTAGTGGTAAACTGCTGTCATATGTTACTGCCTAGATGCTAATGTCCAAGGGTGTCAGGGCAGCACTTGGGCAGCACAGAATAAATAAATAAATAAATCGTTCAACATCACAGAAAGAGCATTCATGAACAGAAAGTCAATTGTAGAATTAACATTTATATGGTTAAATAATCATCTTACTCTTAAAACCAGAAGTCTTCACTTAGTTCCATCTCAAGTATGTGGTATAAAATATGGATTTCTAGATCAAATAAGATTTTACATGTTTCTATGGTATGTTAACACAGTGTAACAGTATAACAAAGGCAAGCAATGGGCATTTCTATATTAGCTGGATTATGATGGTGCCTTTTCACTCAGCAGCTCTGACTGCACAAGCAGAAAATCATCTTCTGGTTTTGTCAGTGTATTTTAGCCTTTTGCTTTTAAAGAGATTCTTATTTCTGTTTCAATTGCAAGATTTTCAATTTTACAGACACCAGTACATCTTTTTACCTGTTCATGATACATCAAGTTTTGGTCTGACAAGGAGGTGCTCTCCCTGCTTTAGTCTTAAGGGTCTTATGGACCCTTATGGCTTATGCAGGCTTTCTGAAAGAGAAGTCCACATATGCAAAAACAAACAAACAAAAAAAAAAAACAAAACAAAAAACACCACGAAACTGGGGGGCAGTTTGCTTCTGCCAGGTGAAAAACAGCTGTCTAATAGCACACAGCAGCTTTACACAGCAGTTTGGAACACAAAGTTACTGAGCTGAAATTAATGGTCAGGAGACAGATTACACACAGAATCACAGAATCACAGGATTTCTAGGTTAGAAGAGACTTCAAGATCATCGAGTCCAACCTCTAACCTAACACTAACAGTCCCCACTAAACCATATCCCTAAGCTCTACATCTAAACATCTTTTAAAGACTTCCAGGGATGGTGACTCCACCAGTTCCCTGGGACGCCTGTTCCAATGTCTAACAACCCTTTCGGTAAAGAAATTCTTCCTAAGATCCAACCTAAAACTCCCCTGGCGCAACTTAAGCCCATTCCCCCTCGTCCTGTCACCAGGCACGTGGGAGAACAGGCCAACCCCCACCTCACTACAGCCTCCTTTAAGGTATCTGTAGAGAGCGATAAGGTCGCCCCTGAGCCTCCTCTTCTCTAGGCTGAACAAGCCCAGCTCCCTCAGCCGCTCCTTGTAGGACTCGTTCTCCAGGCCCCTCACCAGCTTCGTCGCCCTTCTCTGGACCCGCTCAAGCACCTCCATGTCCTTCTTGTAGCGAGGGGCCCAAAGCTGAACACAGTACTTGAGGTGCGGCCTCACCAGAGCCGAGTACAGGGGGATGATCACTTCCCTAGCCCTGCTGGTCACAGTGTTTCTGATACAAGCCAGGATGCCGTTGGCCTTCTTGGCCACCTGAGCACACTGCTGGCTCATATTCAGCCGACTATCAACCATCACTCCCAGGTCCTTCTCTGCCTGGCAGCTTTCCAACCACTTATCTCCCAGCCTGTAGCTCTGCTTAGGGTTATTGCGCCCCAGGTGCAGGACCCGGCACTTGGCCTTGTTGAACTTCATGCAGTTGACCTCAGCCCATCGGTGCAGCCTATCCAGATCCTCCTGCAGAGCCTTCCTACCCTCAAGCAGATCAACACACGCACCTAGCTTGGTGTCATCTGTGCATAAGCAACCAAAAAAGATTATAATAATAAAAATGAGGATCTGTACATTTTGCTGACCAACACAGAAAAAGTTTTTGGCACTCAAATGGAGTTTCTTTGGGAATCAATTAGAAAGATCTTCTGTAGGGGAAATCAGACGAGGTGACCAGGCTATTTGATCTTCATTGTCAAGATGTTTCCATGATACACAGATGATTACCTGAATGGAGGGCATTATTGGCTATAGTAAGTTATTTTGCTACGTGTTTTACCCTAAAACTGGAATGACCTCCCCTTTATTTTAGATGTTGATGTCTAATCATTTTCTGCTACTCAAAAGTCTTTTGACAGTTCTCATTCCAGTTTGCTGCCTCTCATGTTATCACATTATAATGTGTGGAATCATGAAACTTCAGTTAATATTGCTTTTACACATACAATGCAGTACTATTGGCTACATGGTGTATGAATGTGCATATGCCATTAGCATTTATAAATCGGCAGATACAGATTACAGATAGCATGCTATTGAGAATTTAATTTGCAGGAAAATATGATGACCAAAGGCATGGATTAGAAAATGGATTGCATCAATCCCATTTCTGTACAAGCACAGAAGATATTTTAGAAGGCTGCATATATTTAAGGCTAACAAGGCACATCTGCTCACCATCTCAAGGTAAGTGTCATTGTTTTGAGGAAACTATATATCACATTTAGTACTAATCT